CTATCATAACTGTTAACTTTGCTAATGCTATGTTGCCAATAATGAGTGTATTTCCTTTAAATTGCATAACGCTAGTCTATTGCCCCAAAAAACTATAGCAAACATCTAAAGACAGGTTTCAGAGGTTTAAAAAAATGAACAGGGAAGGAGAGTGGAGACGGTATTCTCTCCTGTACTTCCTTTTATGTTATTTCTCTTTTTTACCTTCTTCAGTAAAAGATAGGAAGGAAAGACAAGGAAAATCAGTGGGCTGTGCTGGATTTGCCTAGGATTTCCAAATTTGTATTTGTATTTCAACTCAAACCACAGACAACCCTACTGCACTCAGGCTAAAGACATCACATAGCATTTTTCAGTGGCCTACTGTTGCCGCTGGAATACCACGCTAAACTGCAAAGCAGTCTTTGGATCCTTTCAGTTCCTATTCTAAATAATCTGTTTCCTGCCTTCTCACCACTCCCTCTACCCCATACCCAAGGTGCCCAGCACTCTCAAACTGACTTTTGGCCCAACATGGACCACCTCACTCACGTCTTCCTTCTGCCTCAGCAAAAACTCCAATTTCTAGGAGGTACCTATTCTTTTCCACATGTTCAGGTGATATGAATTCTCCCTAAGATATGAATCATTAATCGGCATAGCCGTCGTCAGGGGTGGGAGGACGTTGTTAAAATGAATCACTAACCAGGGAGAAGAGATTTTGTTTTTTTGGCTGCATGTATAGGGAAAGAGATTTTTTAGCTGAATACTTTCTGCTCCTTTAGCATCAGGGAATGAAACAGCAAACGAAAGAGAATTAGCACTGCGCAGTGGGTAACAAATCACAAATCTACCGTAGTAGAACCATCATCTAGCCACATCTGCCAAGGTCTTTGCTGAGTGGAACTAACACTCTGCTACAAGCCTCCTGCACTGTCGCTTTGCCATTAACCTAGGCCGATGATTTGCATTGCCAAAATGTAAATCCTGCTTTTTTATTTCAAATACAAACAACTCTTACTAAGTCCTTTTACAGGGTAAGATACAAGATAGAATCTCCATCTTAATCTTATCCTTGCAGCTTCTTCAGCCCAAGAACTCGAACAAAAGCCTTATAAATAAAAGTCAATTAAGCTCATAATCCACAGAGAAGGATAAAAGTAGAAAGCAAGGGGATAGCACTGTTCTCTTGAGAATAGCAATTCCCCTTTGGGAGATAATGTTGTTCTTCCTAAGGATCTGTGGGATTTCTGCTACAGTGTGTTTCATTAAGTTCTAAGTTTTATTAACTTCCAGGATAAAAGGACATACCCAGAGTCAAATGAATCCAGGCATTTAAAAACATCTCATATATGGTTCCTAGCCTGCTTCCCCTTTTCCCACAAAAGAACTGCCACTGTAGCTCACTGTAAAGTAGTAAAGAAAAGAAAAGAAAAACCTGAGTGACTTTACACAATTTGTGAGTTCACATGAAGGAAAGGAATGTACCACCAGAATGGAACAGATTCCTGGGACAGCTATTTGGTCCTCCCATCAAATCTAAAAACACCTTTCTCTCACCCTCACTAAATGATTTTTGCTAAAATAAATTTAGTTACATTGCCAAAAATGTTACCAAAGGGGTACCTGGGTGGCTCAGTTGCTTAAGTGTCCGGCTCTGGATTTTGGCTCAGGTGCAGAGATCGAGCCCCATGTGGGGCTCCACACTCAGTGGGGAATCTGCTTGAGATTCCCTCTCCTTCTGCCCCTCCCCCCTTCTTTCTCTGGAATGAATAAATAAATCTTAAAAAAAATATATTACCAAAGACCTGAGTTAAAAAGTGCAGCTCTAAAAACTGCTGCTTAATCATCAGGGTGAATCACCTTACTTTTTTTCTCCTACTACCTAACTAAGACAGTTATGCTCAGAGAATTCTGATTAGCAGGGAGGGAAGACAGGTAATTTGGGGGTGTGGAGCATTTGAGAGATATGAGAAGTGTGGGCAGGATGATATACTGGCAGGCGGAAGAGGGAAGGAAAAGAAGATTGGAACTAGCTTTTATTGGGAATTCACTCTGGGCCAGATCTACCAGGTCAGGTACCTTACCACCTTATGTATTCTTTACAATTCTGCAATGCAAGTGTTATCATTCATATTTTACAAGAAAAAACAAACCCTTGTACTTAGATTAAATCATCTCTAAAAGGTCTTATAGCTAGTAAAATTGCAGATCTCTGATCTGAACCAAAGACAACTTATTCACAAAACTCTAAAAGTGGAAAGTACCAAAACAAATAGGACTGCTCCTGCCTGACATCAGGGGGAAACTCTCTTCTGACTAATTTCTTACTTAGTCAAAGGTACCGAGAAGTCAGGCTGTACCAGCCTGTTGTGTTATGAATCAAATAACTTTTTATAGTGTAGTTTGTGAATATAATCACAGTTTCAGAATTACAGATAAATATTTTCAAGTCCCAAATATTTTAGTCCCCAAATTTCAAAAATATCCCTATTCCTAGTTTGGAAACTGGTTTAATTTACCCAAACACAAGTGATTGGAGGTTCATGAGCTATATTAAATGATCTGTTTCACAGTTTTCATGTCCTTATTTACTCAGCCTGAATAAGCAACAGTTCAGCTAATAATCTTGTGTACTGCACTTATTACTGCCAGACACACAGAGTTTAATATTATCTGTTTCCATCCCTACTTCATTCATGGTCTAGAACAAGATACAATTTCATAAAAATAGCTAATAAAAATGTGACAAATGCTATTAGGCATGTATAAACTGTTAGAAGCAAACAAAAAGGAAATAAATGAAAGGAATGGTACTACTACTATCCATCGTCCACAGACACACACTTCCAGGTCTAGAACTGGGTATACAGTATGCTGCCTTTTGCATAAGACAGGGTGGCAGGGAATGGGATATGAACATGTATGAGAAACACATAAGGTAAGGTGGTAAAGTATTGGTGACCCAATCACTTGCTTCTCTCTGCTGTTTTTATTTGAATGAACTCTCAGGGGGGAGGAGTCAAATGCTGTATCTAGTCCATAATTGTGAACTTTATACTTTTAAGGAAAAAGGAATATTTGACTTTCTACAGAAACGTGCAGAGATAAATAAGAACATTCAGTTCTATTTTCTCTCACCTTTTCACAGTGCTTGCTGTCTATGAAGAAATGAAGTGACTAGATAAAGTATTTCTTTGATATCTAATAGAATTTCCATGATTATGGGTTCTCATTATATGTAGGACTTTCTATGTTCTGTTATTACATGTTTCTGAGAGGAGAATTCCACTATTTTCATTAGCGTTCCAAGGGGTCTATAATCTAAAAGGTTAAGAGCCGCAGAATAAAATGAAATGCACTCTTTCAAACAGTGGTAGAAGGTAAAAAACCCCATTCCATAATGCTGTGTTTGAATGTTAGATCTTAAACTGAAGGTGTTTAAATCACAAGAAATTAAAATTTGAAAATAATCTTGAAGTTGTTTAAAAAGCCCAAGGCAATCAGGTAACAAATGACTGTGTAATATGTTGATAACCAGTGGGTGCACTGTGCAGTGGGTAACAAATCACAGACACACCTCAGGGCATTAGCTCTCTGGTACAGCAGGCAGTGGACAGGGCTGAGGCATGGGGGTGCCAGAGAATTTCCCAACCCGATGATCTGGATAGCGACTTGGGATATAGCCTTTCAGGTACAATGGAGTTTTACATAGAAGGCCCAGTGACTAAATTTTAGAAGACCTAGATGCTGAGTTAAGATGAAGCTAAAAAGTAACCAAGAAGGGGAAGAACTGACTGATATATTAGCCAAGCTCAGTGTCTCTACAAAATTAAACTGCAAGTTGTTAATTCTGGTTCTTTAAGACAGGTTGTGCTAAAGCTACCTAAATGTCAGCTTCTGGATTCTAAGCAAATGACATCTGGACATATGGCATTTCACATACTAGTTCAAATAATTGTTTTATACATATTTTTAAAATAAGTAAAAAAATCTAAAAACACAGTAACACAGAGTTGTATGGATAACCATGTATGATTTTAACCTCTCAAATATTTGTTCAAAATAGGAAAATAAAAATATGTGTATACTGTTAAAGAAAAAAACTTAATGACACTTGTCAACACATGGTAAAGAAGACTTTATTCAAGGGGGGAAGCTACCAAGAAAGGTAGAGGACCCCTGCAATAGAACTCTGCGTTGGGCAGAGGGGCGGGGAGAGATTGGGTTCAGCTGTGAATACTGTATGGGCAAGTGGGAATTTAGAGCCAAGGAGAAGTGTGGGAGTCAGTGAATGGAAAATTACTAAGAGGAAACATCAGGGGTGAGGGAGATTCTGGCAAAACTGACTTAAGAGAATTTTTGCTAGAGACAGGCCAGTGCGATGAGACATCACCTAGGGGATAACCCATCAGATACTGAGAGTGGTGGGGTTCTGTTAAACTGGCTTAGCAGGGTTCTTGCTAAAACAGAATTTTATAAGGAAGTACACAGATGGGCTTGGGAGAAGGCTCAGGAGACTGACTAAAATTTGGTCAAGCAAAGAATCTTTATCAGCATTTACAGAATTATGATGATACAATGGCAGCAACGAAGGTCAACCACACAGTATATGTGAAACATATTATAGTATTACTTAAGATCTGGGCTAAGCAGCTTTGGCTGGAATACCTGAAGTGTGAGAAAGAAGCTAAACTCATGCCTAGCCTAAACTCATGTGATTTTGCCTGGTTGAATAAACTGACGGTAAACTTTTTTCTGATAACATCTTCAGGAAATAGGGAACAACATTTAAAGATTAATGATTACCATATAATTTTATATGTGTAAACTGTTTATCGCTGACTAGGCTGAATGTATCCTGGACTATATGTATCTGAATAAACTTGTTCATCTATTTTCATTTGCTTTATTCAAATAGGTTATCAACAGAAAGACTTCAGTTACTCAGAGGTTAGTTATAGTTCATTGTGGTTTTACTATGAAATTTTATAAACCAAAAGAAATTACCAATTACCTACCTAAGCGATGGAATCCAAAGGTGAATCTTTTGGTTGGTGATTTTGAAGATAGCCACAAAGCAAGCAGGGTCAGTATGATAGCGCTTAGGTCAGTTAACATATGAAGCGCATCTGTCATGATTGCTAGGCTGTTTGCAATGTATCCACCTTGGAGTAAGGATGAGAGGGAAGAAGGAATAAGTTAATTAAAATAATAAACATAAGCAAACCAAAAATATGTAACATCCTACAAAACATCAACTTTGAACTAAATCTTTATCCTATTACAATTAAATCAAGATATCCTGAAATTTTATGCAAAACATTAAATATGTGTGTATTTTTGTGGTGAAGATGTCCATTTCTATGAACAGATTCTCTGAGGAGTCAATGACCTTAAAAAAATTAAGAACTGGGGCGCCTGGGTGGCTCAGTTGGTTAAGCATCTGCCTTCGGCTCAGGTCATGATCTCAGGGTCCTGGGATCCAGCCCTGCTGTCGGGCTCCCTGCTGCTTCCCCTGCTTGAGCTCATGCTCTCTCTCTCTCTCTCAAATAAATAAATAAAATCTTAAAAAAAAAAAATTAAGAACCACTAAACTGGGCTCTAACACATAAGAAATTTTGTGTTTTAGTACTGCAGCTTTTACTCAACCTACTAATCCTACTATTAGTGAAATTAATAACCACAGTATCTAAATATTACAAGAAAGCTGAAGATAGATACTTGTTTGAGAGGGTTTGACCACAAAATTAAACTGAAATTTTTTTTTTTTTAAGATTTTATTTATTTATTTGAGACAGAGAGAATGAGAGACAGAGAGCATGAGAGGGAGGAGGATCAGAGGGAGAAGCAGACTCCCTGCCGAGCAGGGAGCCGGATGCGGGACTCGATCCCGGGACTCCAGCATCATGACCTGAGCCGAAGGCAGTCGCTTAACCAACTGAGCCACCCAGGCGCCCTAAACTGAAGAAATTTTTTAAATGTACATTAGTTCAAAATGAAGGATAAAGATAACTGATTCCCTTGGGTATAGATAGCAGTGTCTCAGAGAGATTAAAGGTGGTATTTAGAATAAAATTTTTCCAGGCATTATATGTATATATGATATATAAAATTAATTTTGTATACGTGTATGTGTGTGTGTATATATATGTATGTTGTTCTATTATGGTTAACCAATTGTCTTAGCACCATTCATTGAATAAGCTTTTTATAATATACAATATTCAAACCTTTACATGTATCAGAATCACCTGGAAGATTTGTTAAACTACAGATTGCTTGCTCCACTCCCAGAATTTCTAATTCCAGAGGGCTGGATGAGGCCTGAGAATTTCCATTTTTAACATGTTCCCAAGGTGATGTTGATGCTTCTGGTCTTGGTATCTTTGAGAATCACTGTTACAATGAACTTCATGTTCGGGGTATTATGACATGGAAGTGTGCGAAGCCGTTGTTCCCCTCTTTCTGGGATGAGTGTGCAGAGCCAAGAGCAGCAGGTCACTGAGCTGGTGATCTTGTAATCACATCCATTTACTCCAGTGTGCTCTATACAAATGCCACTTTTAATATTCCCTTGACATTAAAGAGCTGGAAATCACTGAGAAAAATACAAGTTGGTGGCTAAGAGGGTTTTGGACTCTCTGAGACTCCCTCAGCAAGTTACTTAATACTTTTGAGCCTCAGTTTCCTTATCTATAAAATAAGGGTAATACCTTAAAGCTGTACTGTCCAGTAAGTCTTGGAGATGATGGAAATGTTCTATCTGTGCTGTCCAGTAGAGTAGCTACTAGTCACATGTAGCTTTTGAGCATTTGAAATATGGATAATGCAACTGAGGGATTTATTTTATTTAATTTTAGTTAACCTAAACTTAAAGAGCCATGTGTTGATAATCATCAGCAAAAAAATAGCAGAGTAAGGACCTCTGAAAATCATCCTCTCTATGAAAGTAATGAGAACATGGGCAAAAATGGTCCAAATCAGCTTTTTTTTTTAGAACTCTGGAAATTAACCAAAGGCTGATACAGATAGTATTCATTCAAGGAAAACAACTGAATCTTTATAAGAACATCGAAAATTCTGTAGCCTTGGACCCATCTCCCTCTCTCCCGCTCTATGGTAGCCCTGAAAACCAACAGGCAACAATCGTGGTGAAAACCAGCCTGGCAGCCACTGCAAGGGATAAAATAGGGTTAGAGATACTTACAAGCCCCATTCCCAAAGAACTATCATTATTTGATCTGCCTGGTAGTTCCCTGGGGAAAAGCACACCAGCAAGGCTGTTTTGACTTGACTTAGGATCTGTCTTAGGCAAACCCTGAGGAATGTTTGTCAAAAAACAATCCAAGGGAATTGTTTAATACTGCAGCTGCCTGAAGCAATAGATAACAATGTGCTCCCTGTATTCTGAAATTTCACAATCATATACCTTGGTATGGGTTTATTTTCACCCAATTTGCTGGGTTTTGGTTTACTCTTTATCTGGAAAGGTATACACTTCAGTTCTGGGGAAATTTCTTAAACTATATTGTTGACAATTTCTTTTCTTCTGTTTTCTCTATTCCCCAAATTCCTATTATTTGGAGTTTGGATTGATATACTAATTTTCTTATGTTTTTTCTCCTATTATCTATTTCTATCTTTTTGCTCTACTCTCAGAGATTACCTTAGTTCATCTTATAACTTTTTTATGGAGTTCAAAATTTTTTTGTTTTTATTGTTCAAAAGCTCTTTACCTTGAATTTCTTTTTTAAAGCAGTCTATTCTTGTAGGTACATATCTCTTATTTCTGTGGATACTATGTAATTATTTTATCTGTTTAACTAGTTTCCTTATTTTAGTCTTCCTCTTGACCTACACTTCTAGGGGTACCAGGTGCAACCAATTCTGGGCCTACTTAGGATTCTGAAGAGCAGTAGTTCTCAGTATGGTCCCCAGTATCAGGATCCCCTGTGAACTTGTAAGAAATGCAAATTCTCAGGCCCTATCCCAGACCTACTTAATTAGAAGCTCTCACCCAGCAATTTGTTTTAATAAATTCTCTAGGTGTTTCCGACGAATTAGTGTAAACTGGGTTGATTCTTGGCTTTCCCCAACTGCTACTTAGGAGGTGGCTTTCTTGGGTCTATTAAGTCAGTTATTTCTTTTATCTATCTCCTTTCTAGTTTCTCAAAGTTATGTTGTTATTATCTTGTCTCCAGTTTTCCCCATCTATGTGGACACACACAGACCCACATGTGGATGGATATATGGCTATATACATATATATACATTTAAAAATCCCTTTATTTCAGTTTGAGAGGCTTCAGGAGAAAGTACATTTAGATACATGAGTTCATTTGTCATCTTTGAGTACTTTTGGGAAGTCTGTTTACATTCATTCTTCAAGCTTTTTCACTCCCAATAAAAATGCAGTTGTTAATCAATGACTATTACTAAATCCAAAGGATAGTTTAGTTCTCATCTCATTAGACCTCTCAGCAGCTTTAACTTATTTATTTCCACTTGGAAATACTCTATTTTCTTAGATTCTGAAATACCTGTTTGTCTTTTGCCTGACGTCTAAAGTTGGAGTTCCTCAAAACAGACTCTGTAGGTGGTTTTTTCCATTCTGATAGCACTACACACTCTATCTCTTGACTTGACCTCTCTTCTGAACTATAGACTCATATCTAACAGCTCACTAGACATCTTTACTGGCTATTTTACATACATGTGATAATGAACATTGTCTAAAACAACCCTTGAGCCCAGGCCTAAATCCTGCTCTGTATTTTCTCCCTGCCTAATAAAAGATATACAATTCCATACACTCAGTTGCTTAGGTGAGAAACTTCAGAATCAACCCCCACATCTAAACCATTAGTCAATTTTGTTAATGTTACCTCTAGAATATTTCTCAATCTCCATCCACACCAGTCCAAGCCATAATTGTTTCTTTTCTGGACCTCTGCAATAGTTTACTTGCTTCCATTCTTGCACCCTCCAATCCATCTCCACATAAGGGCCAAAATAATCTTTTAAAAACATAAATCCCATCATATTACTCTCCACTTAAAAGCCTTGACTGGCTTTTCATTGTACTTAGAATTAAAAACTACACTCATAATATGGTCTATCAGAACCGGCCTGATTGGTCCTCTGGCCTCTTTCTCTCTTGCTTATTATATTCCAGTGAAACTTGCCTTCTTTTTAGGTCCTTTTAAAGAATTGAAGGTTTTTAGGACTTTTGTACATGCTATTCTCTTCACTTGGAAAACTCCTCCACTCCTTTTGTTTGAATAACACTTTTTTTTTTTGGTTTAACTGTACCTGGCTCATACATAAACTATGTCCCACGGGGTTACTATGTCTTATAGTACCTTGTTCTTTTGCTTCATAACACTTAAGGCCATATGGATTTTAAATTTATTTATTTGTTTAACATCTGTGCCCTCCATTAGACTAAGTGCTTCAGATAGTAGGTTTTATTTACTTATTTTTTTTTTTAAAGAGTTTATTTATTTGAGAGAGAGAATGAGACAGAGAGAGAGAGCATGAGAGCGGGGAGGGTCAGAGGGAGAAGCAGACTCCTCGCCGAGCAGGGAGCCCAATGCAGGACTCGATCCTTGCATCCCAGGATCATGACCTGAGCCGAAGGCACTCGCTTAACCAACTGAGCCACCCAGGCGCCCCAGATAGTAGGTTTTGTAAAAGTACTCAAAAAATACTTGCTGAATGATCTAAAGTCTCAAAGCAAGTTAGTGGCAAAGCCAAGATTCAAAATCAAGTCTTCTCTTTCAGATCTTTAAATTACCTCATTTTTTAAATTACTCCATACTTTCTACATAAGACGCCTTATTTCTAAGTGCTTTTGATACACTTTAATAAATGCTCTACTATATACAATTTAATTCTATGTAATATTCTGAATATTTTTTTAAAAGATTTTATTTATTTATTCATAAGAGACAGAGAGAGAGAGAGGCAGAGGGAGAAGCAGGCTGCCCGCTGAGCAGGGAGCCCGATGAGGGACTTGATCCCAGGACCCTGGGGTCATGACCTGAGCCGAAGGCAGACGCTTAACCATCTGAGCCACCCAGGCGCCCCTGAATATTTGTTAATGCTTATCCTAAGTATTAGTATTTTTGTATTATTTAACATAAGATTTTTATCTTTGAAAATAAAATACTTAAAGTATTTTAAGTAAAATACTTATTGTGGTTTTCACAAAACAACATTTACCAAATAAGAGATTTCAAAAATGGTATGTCAGGACAATTTTATCTTAATAATTTTTACTTAGGTAAAATAAACTCTAATTTTAAGGGGGAAAATTGTGATTAATATGATTTTAACTTCAAATACAAAATATTAACTTCAAGAATTACTAAGTCTGGGGCGCCTGCGTAGCTCAGTTAGTTAAGCGTCTGCCTTCAGCTTAGGTCATGATCCCACGGTCCTGGGATGGAGCTGCAAAGCAAAGCGCAGGGCTTCCTGCTCAGTGGGGAGTCTTGCTTTTCTTCCTCTCCCTCTGCTCCCCACCTCGTGTGTGTGCATGAGCACGCACTCTCTCAAATAAATAAATAAATCTTAAAAAAAAAAAATCACTAAGTCTTACTGACTTGATATTCTAGCTGTGTGAATTTGGGCAAGTCATTGAATCTTAGTGTGTAGAGGCCATGCCTTCTTACCTGGCCACAACTTCACTTTTACTTCCTTTACAGCTTAAGCATTTATAATTCTCTATCACAATAAAAATTAATTCAGCAGAAGTTTATTGAATGTCTATTCTGTACCAGTCATTGTTGTAGATGCTGGGAATGCAGCTTATATTTCAGTGGAAGAAGACAGATATTAAACAAGTGAATATACAAACAAGATAATCTCAAGATGCTGAGGGCTTTTAAAGTTGGGGAGAGAACAGGAGAGATGAGATATCTACTTTAGTCAGTCAGAAAAGGTCTCTCAGAGTTATCTTTTGGGGTAAGATACGAATGTCAAGAAACCAGCCAAGAGAAGATTGGGGAAAAGGCACTCCAGGTTAAGCAGTGTTTTTCAACTGCAGGCCCTGATCTGTGGAACACGAAATCAATTAAGTGGGCTGGGGCCATAATTGAAAAAACAAAATACTAGAACGCATCACAAGAAATGAGACTTTTGTTTCAGTTATACATATATTCACACATATATGTGTGTATGTGTACTTAACATACATATGTATGCATGCATGCCTACCCAGGTCACAATGTTAAGTGTAGTTTTTTCTATAGTGAGGTCAAGAAAGTTTGAAAGCCACTGAGGTAGAGGAACCAGCCAGTTTGAAGGCGTTATGGACAGGAAAGAGCTTTGTGCGTCATAGGGAGAAAGAAGGCCAGCATGGCTGAAGTGTGCACTGGGGAGGAGAGGTATAAAATGAGGTAGGAAATGTATATAATTTTCCTATATATAACCTCTGGCCAGCATCTTAATCTGGACTGCCACCTGTTCTCGTAATGGTTAATCATTAAGAAACAATATGGCAGATTTATCTCCCTGCTTTAATGTCACTTTGTAAACTGTCACTAAGAGAAGTTAGCAGTTACACTAATGTGACTGTGAAATTAATCTCTAAGAATATATTTTTTAGTGAGAATGTATTACTTGAATTATCAAAAAGTGGTAAAACAGGACGCCTGGGTGGCTCAGTCCGTTAAACGTCTGCCTTCCGTTCGGGTCATGATCTCAGGGTCCTGGGATGAGTCCTGCATCGGGCTCCTTGCTCAGTGGGGAGCCTGCTTCTCTCTCTGCCTCTGCCCCTCCCCCTGCTTGTGTGCTCTCTCTGGCAAATAAATAAATAAATCTTAAAAAAAATACAAAAAAATACTATAAAAAACCAAGTTCATAAACCCCGGGGGAGCCCTCTGGTTCCTTTCAGATCCTTAGTATAATGAAAAACTTTAAAGGTCGTATTTAATTTTGCAAATCTCTTGGATATAAATACAAAAGGAAATACTAACAAAGAAGAGACCGCTTAAGTCAAATGTAGAGAAAAAAGTAAGGAGCCTGGGACTGTAGATGTGCCTCTTCCACCAACCAGCCAAGTATCCTCACAACTTGTTTCACTCTCTGGGCCCTCAGATTCCTTATGTGTGAAAAAGAAGGAAGAGCAGGTGTTCAGTAAGTCATTTCATACGTAAAATTTTATGATTCTACGTTTAGATCACTTACTATTTTAAATGATGCAAAAACTAACCTGGTGTTTTATCGGAATTTTTTAAAGAGGAAGTTACATGATATACGATGAAGCTAATGTACTTAACTTTACAGTAGGTGTCACAGTGTCTGGAGAACGAGAAGAAAAAGTCAAAGTTATCTCTGAAAGTTTATGTCCTACTTGGGTTGATCTGCACTTTGGAACCGTGTGGACTTTTCCTATCACGAGATCAGTATCTTGATAAGTAACAAACTTCATGAAAAGAAAGTTTAAACCTCAAATCATGTGTAACTAAAGCTTGACAACAACCCTCGGGACAAGGTAAATGGAAAGTGAGTTGGCAACACAACTCACCTACAAGTTCTCCAATCATGAAAAGCAAGTAAAGAACGGCCGCAATGGTCAATCTGGTTTTCACCTTTCTCTGCTTCAGTAACTCCCGCTGTCTGCTGCAGTTGTCACAGGGGTCCACCTTCAAACTCAGCTGACTGTTGGTCAAAGCTAAGTCCTGGTCCAGTAAGGAATCGTCGTCGGCCTGCAGGGCCGGGTGCGCCCCGTTAATAGGCCTTTCTGGGATTTCAGAACCATCATCGGCCACCACAACTCGAAGTTTGTTAAACCGAGAAAGCCCCTCGTCCCCCACCTCGTCCGAGAAGTCAAAGGCGCTGGTGTCATTTAAAAACAGCGGCGCATCATCCTTCCTTAGCAGAGATTTGAGGCGCTTCCACGCGCCGGATCCGGCCATGGCAGAGACTGAGCCGCCGCGGCACGGAAAGGCTCGGAGCAGGCGGCCGGCCGGCGGCTGCGCCGGCTCCTACTTCACCGGAGCGCCAGTTCCCGATGGCACCGCCGCGCGTCCCTCCCCATCCTGTGCAAAACGAAACACGTTAACACGTTATAAATTAAAGGCGCCCCAACACTGCCCACAAGTTCCGAAGCCCCGGCGGCGGGGGCGCCAGGCCGGCCCGGAGGCGCCCGGGCTCCGCGAGGGGGCGGCGAGT